TTCGGCACCCGCCGAAGGCGCCGACCCCGCCGCCGAGCCCAAGCTTGACCTCCTGCCCAGCCAAATCCTGCTCGACCTGCGGCTCCCCCAGCCCGGCCCTGTCGCGCGGCGCGTCGGAGGCGAGGCTGGCGCCGCTCGGCTCCAACTGCTCCTCGAACGTGTCACCGATGAAGTGGCTCGCTGCTGCGAGGCTGCCCCTGGCGATCTCCTTCGCCAACAGTCCGCCCAGCACGGGCGAGTGGATCTCGAGGGCGACGCCCTGCGCGCGGAAGACCGCGATCGGCCCCTCCGCGCGCGCGCCCATCTGGTCGCCAGGCTTCGCGCCTCCACGGCTCGCCGACGCGGGCTGCCCTGAAGCACGCGTCGGCAATGCCCAAGCGAATGGGGGCGCGGTCAGGGCCGAGAGCGGCCAGGGTGAGGAGGAGGAGGAGGAGGAGGAGGAGGAGGAGGAGGAGGGGGAGGAGGAGAAGGAAGAGGGGGAGGAGGTCGCGGTTGTGGTGGTTCCCGTAGGGGGCGCGCGAGTCTCGATCTCTCGCACAATCCCCGCTGGAAAATATGGATGCTTGGCCGCCTGGGCCCCGGGCCGCCAGAGCCTGGGGCGCGCGCTGCGCCTCGCGGGCGCGGGCGCTGCCCCGTCAGCGGGGCGGGCCCCGCTCTCATGCCGCTGGCTGCTATCGCAAACGAAACAGCATCGAGCAAAGGACGGGCCCCCGACTGCCCACGCAGCAGGGCGATCCAGAGGAGCCCCCCCCCCCGACGAGCTCGAGAACCCACCCGGCGCCAGGGCAGCGCGCCCTCCCCCACGCCAGCGGGTCTTCTAGCTTGTCGAGCGGCTCTGGATTTGCCCACCTTGCGCGCGTCTAGAGACTCGAGAGGCTGCATGCTCCTATCGATGCACGCGGCTATTCTGGATCTCCTGTCGGTAGCTGTGCACCTGCCTGGGTAATTCTCTCGCGTGCTCGCTGCCGCTCTAAACCATTCTAGTCAGAGCAGTCTGTCTCCTAGGGTCGTGCGCTACCTGTACTACTACAGCTGAGCATCGTCTCCATATTTCTTCTTGGGTACTCCCTGAAGCACTAACTGCTTGAGCTGGCGCTCCGCTACTTTCTCCAGCTCGGCCCTCGGCCCCGCGCCCATGGGCGCGGTCCCCGTGCTCACGGGAAGGGCATGGTTCAGCGCTTCTCTCAGCACGCCTGGTGAGAACCTCCTCGCTTGTGTCGCTAACTCCTCCTCTGCCCCACTCATCCTCAGCGCCGACGTGTAGCCGGCATAGCTCTTGATCCCGTACATCACCTTTGTCATATCCTGCATGTCGCTCTCTCTCTCTCTGATCTTCTGCCATGATCCTGAACAGGCTGAAGGTCGCGTCGATGAGGCGGAGACCGTGCTTGCTGTCGTTCGCGGAATCTACCCACTCCTTCAGGTACTCTTTGCTGGCCTTGTGGTCCTCGCCCGTGCTGCTGAAGGCGTCGATGGCCTCTCCCACCGTGGCGATGGTTATGTGGCAGCGTGGTGGCCCGTGCCCGTGTCCTTTCCCGAGCCTCTTGACTTCGTTGTTGTAGTTCTGGCCTGCTCGAGTTTCCGCGACGATCGTGGGGGCCCCTGACAGGACGAACCGGGAGTCGTAGAAGGCGTTCTGGTGGTCTCGACTCTCCTGCGCAATCCTGAGCACCAACTTCTGGCTGGTGACCAAGGCCATTCGTAAGTCTGCGCCTTGCCCTGCTCCTCCGCCTCCCTTTTCTCCCCCAGTACCGTTGCCGCTCTCTGTGGTCGGCGCCTTGCTCGCCCTGCCCCCCGAGCCCTTGTTGCCCTCCTCCCCCGTCGATGCTGCTGCCGCCGGTGCGCCGGCATCTCCCTGCGCGAGTCTCCACGACATGATCTGCTTCACGAGCAGGTGCTTCTGTTGCCTCGACTACACCTGCAGGGCCTGGGACGCGCCGGCGGGCATGTTCCTGGAAGGAACGTAGATTTTGAGCCACGTGGTCGCAGAATCGACACTGGAGGATATCGGGGGCAGTGACCTCGCGGCCCAACTTGGATCTGTCAACGAAGCATCCCCCGTGCCTCAGAGCGACTCTCCTCGCGCGGTCCAGGGCCCCCCTTTTGTTGACGAAGCTACCATGGCACCAGGGGCACTGGTTCGTGACGATGATTTGGCTGAGGAGAGGGTTGGTTCCACGTGCTTCCCTACGGCGTGCAATAAGACCCTGGACGGTTTGAAATCGTTTCCCACACGTCGTTCCCCCCCCCGCCCGCCTTGTGGTCGCACCAGTACTGGTTCATCTTCTCATCCTTCTCGCCCCCCCCCCCCCCCGCGCTGGCGAAGTCCTGCGTGCCCGAGGCCTGCCTCGCGAGGAGCTGTTTTGTATGCCCATGCCGAATGCGAGCACGACCTTTGGGGCAACAGCGCGCCAAGCAGCCACGCGCGTAGTTTCCCGCCGTGGTTCGGCCGCGCCTGCTGCGAGGCCGCCGTCTTCCAGCGGCAAGCATGCTTGAGTAGACTCCCTGTCCGTGTGGGCCTCGTCAAGCAGGCGGTCCGAAAAGGCCCTTGAGGACGAGGTCGAAGGTCTGCGCCGCCTGCAAGTCCACGAGCTGCGCGCGCAAGAGATGGTTTGGCAAGCTCTGCGCCGTCCAGCGGAGCATGGCCCTGGCCTCTTGGAGCCTGAGGCCGGCGGCCACGGCTTCGTGCAGGGTCTGGCCAAAAGTTCGCAGGGCTTCCGTGACCTTGCCCATGGCCTGGGCGCCGCCTCCTGCCAGCTCCCCCCAATCATCGTCATGGCGGTGCGTCAGGCCGAACCCCAGCACGCATGGGGCGCGGCCAGGGGGAAGCCACATCTCCGTCTTAGTCGCGTTCAGATCGAGCCCCCAGGCATTCAACCTACCAGAAAGGTCCTGGATGAACTGCTCAGCGTCTGCGGCAGGCACCACTGCGACGACGTCGTCGAGGCACGCCGTGACCAGCCAGCGCGGAGAGCCTGCGAAATGCTGCAGCGTCGTCTGATGGACGGCCGCCGCGTGAGCCGCGGGGTTCAGGGGGCAGCCTTGCGGCACCCCTGCCCAAGTGCTGAGCTCGTGCAGGTCGCCCTCGCCGTCGCGCCAAAACCTCGCTGCGGGCTTCGCGTAGAGCTGGGCCAGCAGACTGCCATACTCCGGGAAGACCACCTCCTCCTCCTCCTCCTCCTCCTCCTCCTCCTCCTCCTCCTCGTCCTCGTCCTCCTCCTTCTCATCATCATCATCATCATCATCATCATCATCATCATCATCATCATCATCATCATCATCATCATCATCATCATCATCATCATCATCCGCAGTTTGCCTCCTCCTCCTTCTCCTCCTCCTCCTCGTGCCTCCTCCTGCCTCCCCCAGTTGCTCTAAACCATTGTTGTATCTTGCATTTGGCCTCGCCCCTCCCCCCCCCCTCACGACGCACATTCTCCTCCCCTCGTGCTGGGCCGTTCGCCTCTCCACGCGTGCCGCCGCCTACCCGCGCCCGGAGCCCGCCTCACATACCCCCGAACGGGCGCGCGGGTCGCGGTCCTGTACGAACGCCTCTTGCCCGAAGAGGAACGGCCGCAGGGAAAAGGGGCGGAGGGGAGGCGAGGCTGAAAGGTGGACGAGACAGGGGACCTTCTCCTTTCCTGGGCTGCGTGCCGGGACCCAGCAGCCCAAGGAGGACAAGGAGGATGAGGAGGGCAGGAGGAAAAGGGGGGCGGAGGAGGAGGACGGGGCTGATACGGAGGCGGGAACGGAGGAGGAGGAGAGGGATTCCTTTCGAATCCTCCTCCTCCGCTCGTTTGAGCATCCATTTCGTCCTCCTCGTCCTCCTCCTGCTGCTCCCCCTCCTCTTCCGCCACTGTTTCCCCCAATGTTTCTAAACAGCGTCCTGTGCGTTTGTTGGCGGGGAGGTGCGCTTTGGGGTCTTGACAACCAAAAAAAAAAACGCAACAACAACAACGCGACGTATTGTTCGCGTGGTTCACTGTGCTTTTTGGCGTGTTCAGGCCTATCGCTGTGGATGTTCGTTTGGTCAGCATGCCTTGCTTTCTTGTCAAAAGCTGCTCCTTGTTTTCACTGCCGTGTTCGCTCCCGCTTTCTTGTACTGACGCCTCCCGTTCCTCCCGCTCCGAACCCAAAGCTACAAACGCCAACGCAAACAAAAACGCCGGCACACTGGTCTGAAACCGGCGAGGAACAGGCCCGGAGGCTCGGCGACGGCCAGATAATATCAACGTAAGTAGAACCAGCATGTAGGACGGGCTGGACGCAAGGAGAAGGAACCGAGGACGTGGTAGACGGCAGTGTTAAACAGCGCAATCAAAACTCCCCTCAAAAGCGTAGAGCAACTGAACTCAAACCGCTTTAACGTTGCTGTAACGTTTTAGTGCTCTTGCTGGGGCCCAGAATTGCTTTGAACAAATGTTTCCAGCACGCCAAAATCAGACCTGTAAGCAGAAAAGCCCAGGGCAGATGTATGAACCCAACCGTGCCACTTTCCGTATCATGCTCCCCCTCGTCCTGACGTTCCATCTCCTCTCGCATCTCCTCTTTCCCCCTGAGATCCACCCATTCTCGTGCCCTCCTCATCCGGATCGGACGCCGACAGAAAGGAAAGAGAGAGGGCAGGGGCGGGAGAAAGCGAGAGAGTGAGAGAGAGAGAGAGAGTCAGAGAGAGAGAGAGAGAAAGAGAAGGATTATATCTTTATACAAGTATGTACATATATATATAAACATATATTGAGCTGCTTTGCGTCAAGATGACAGCAATTGACTCCAGGTGGCGATCTGCGACGGGCCGTTGCTTTTCGGCTGCTCAACGAAACAATGACACCGCGCTTGCTTGCTGCCGTTGGTCCTCTAGGAAGTCTGCTGGGGGCGCGCCAGGACAACAGGAGCAAAGTCACGCGAGCGGGGAGCCACTGGAGGACGCGTCGCTGGCAAACCAGAACAGGAGGGGGGAACATAGGGCACCAAACGGCAATTTGGAACACTATTTCCCCCTCCTGGTCCGGGCAGCCCCGAATTACTACGCTCGCTGAAGCAATAGTTTGTTTATGGCGCCCTGGCAAGCCAGGGGGGAAGAAGGAGAAGGGAAAAGCAAACCACAACAATAAGCGGCACCAACTCAGTATGAAGCCTGCACGTCATTCGTTGCCTTCCCCACGGGCAGAAGACGGCCGACCCTCTCTCGTGAGGACCATCTCCTCGGATCTCACACGTGCAGTGCAACATACTCAGAATGCCTTCGGCCTCCATCGCACTCCCAAATCATCGCCCGATAATGCGAACGAGCCATGGCCTCCTGGGTAGGGGTCAGCACGGGGGCGCGCGATCGCGCGCCAAGACCGGGGGGGGCCCGCGACCTCCACGCCCTAGACTTCGACCTCCCCGCGAGGACGCCCTGGTCCACGTCCTCGTGGTGGCCTGGCGGCGTGGCCCCCAGCATGAACTTGGCGCCAATCCGCTTCTGGGAGTCGATGATCGCCACTCGGCTGCCATGGGTGTCCCCGTCCACCGCCGTGGCCCCCGTCTCGCGCAACATGGTGGACAGCTTGGCCGGGGTCGAATCGTGCGCCAGATGGGCCCGCAGCCAAGGGCATAGCAGCGCACTGTCGGGAATGTTCTTGGTTGCGAGGTGGATCTCGGGCTGCTTCATCACCTTCTCGTTGGCTCCCTCGCCGTCCTCCTGGGTCAGCGTGCCCGCTAAGACTGGGTACTGATACGCCTTGGGCGCGCCATGTGCAAGGTTTTGGACGCTCTTCTTGCACATGGTGAGGTAGTCCTTGCAGTCGGCGTTGAGGTGATTGTTCAGCTCGCAGTCCTTGGCAATCATGAAGACGCCCCAGATCGCTGGCATGCTCCTCCGCAGGTCGGTGGAAAGCTTCAGAAGCTGCGCGATGGTGAAAATTAACAGGTGCTTGCGGCCAGCGTGTTTGACGGTGGCCTTATTTTTCCCGGAAAATGCTCCTGCCCAGGGTCCTCTTTTAGCATGGTTAATAACACTCGGTTGGAGGCCGGCGGATTTCCGTTCGATAGAAGTTTAGGTAAAGTCCGAGAAAAAATGCTTTTCTCGCGTGCCCGCTCGAGGAAAGTGTGCCCTCCATTTCGAATCCTCTATAAATAACGGAGTCTGCAGACACCCACTTTCCCTTGTAAAAAAAAACCAGGTGCGGAGCATTTTTAGCAGAATCCCAAAGAACGAAGTCTGGAGCTCCGACAGGGGCACACAAGATCTGAAAATGTGACTTTTTGTGTGCCCGCTCGAAGATGGCGCGTCCTGCGCGCGGAAATTCAAGGGATGTCTCGAGCGAAACGCTCGTTTTGCAAAATTTTACAGGCCTGGGCGATCCAGGATCGCGGCTTTGGGAGCGCGGACGCCGCGTAATTTACAAGGGATCCTGGCCCTGGGAGCGCGGACGCCGTACACTTTACGAAGGGTCGCGGCCATGGGAGCGCAAATCCAATGCAATGTACGATGGATCGCGGCCTTGGGAGCGCAAATCCAGCGTAATTCGCGTGGGATCCTGGCCCTGGGAGTGCGGACGCGATTTAATTTACGAGGGATCGTGCACTGGGAGCGTGGGCACTGTATAATGACGGGAGGCGCGCTAAGACTCGAAGAGTCGCGCGATGGACGTCTGTGTGCCCAGAGGGGTCTTTTTATCAACTGGGGGGGGGTCTGGGGGGGAGCGCGCGGCGCCGCCTCGGGGCGCAGGACGTGGCGGATTCCCCAAATGAGCGTTTCGCTCGAGACATCCTCACAACATCGTGAAGTTGGGGGTCGTATCTTAACACGTATTTTGCTAAGCATGGGCGTTTTGCTCGAGACATCCTCCAAACATGGAGATTTTGAAATCGCTCGCCTATTTTTCGGATCCTCGAACATGGGCGTTTCGCCCGAGGCATCCTCGAAAACATGGAATGCCGACAGAGCTCTTGTAAGGCATCTTTTCGGAACGATCTCGGATGACCTCCAAGATGGCCCAAGAAGCGAACATATTGAAAAATCAACGTGTTTTTAGGCTGTTCGTTGAAGAAACAGCGTTTCGCTCGAGACATGCCCTACAAACTGCCTTCGAACAGGCCCTCGAAACCATTTTGTCTCCTCCTCCTTCTCCTCATCCTGCTCCTCCTTTTCCTCCTCCTCCTCCTCATCCTTCTCCTCCTCTTCCTCCTCCTGTTCTTGCTTCTCCACCTCCTCATCCTCCTCCTCATCCTCCCGTTCTTCCTCCTTCTCCTTCCTCCTCCTCCGCCTCGTCGTCCTCCTCCTCCTCCTCCTGCTCCTGCTCCTCCTCTTCCTCGTCCTCCTCCCCGCTCCCTCCTCACCCTCTGTTCCTGCTGCTGCTGGTCCTCCTCCTCCTCCTCCTCCTCCTCCTCCTCCTCCTCCTCCTCCTCCATCTCCTCCTCCATCCGTAGCCATTCTGGCTCAAGCGACAAACACTCGTAACGGCTAATTGTCGTTGCGGGCCAAAGCTTTCAAAGACTCCTGTCGGAGATTCCATGGCTCATGGCGGCGGCGGCGGCAAAGGCGCGGCGGCTGGCAAAGGCGCTGCTGTTGCTTCTGCTCGGCGCACTTCAATGCCACCATGGACGGAGGAGCGTCGTCGCCGTTGGGGAGGAACCTGGACTCGCACCTGGCCTCGTGATACGAGCCAGGACGAGGACTGGGACTGGTACATCTCCGATGGGACGAAGCGCGGTGTCACTTGCCCTAACCCCAACTGTGGCTGCAAGAAAAATCTCAAAGGATATATCTTCTGTCGTCAGTGCGGGACATCACTTACGGGCAAGGGCAAAAAGCATCCACAGGAGACCTCCGACGGAGGGATTCTGTCTGCTCCACCCCTCGCTCTCGAATGGCCTCAGCCTCTGCTCCCAGGGCCAGTCAAAGGAACCAAGGGCGGAGGAAAAGCCAAAGACAAAGGTGAGGGAGCGGGTGGGAAAGGAGGAGACGACAAGCGAGGTGTACCCGATGGGCGCACCGCTCAGGCTCCGTTGCCTCAAGGCCTCGTCACCTTCATGGATGCTGACAAAGCTCAGAAGCTGGCGGATGTGGCCCGAGAAGCTGGAGACCCGGTGGGTGAACAGCGCTACTTGGGCCTGGTGGCTTTGGCCAAGGCTGCCCAGCCTCGCCCACCCACCACGAAGCAGCGCCTGGAGAAGTTCGAGGGCATCCAGCTGGAAATCCAGAACCAGATCCAGCAGGACCTCGACAAGCTCGACCGCTGGGCGAAGTCTCGAGACGCTGTCCTTGAGCGGGTGGCCAACCTCAAGGACCAGCTCGAGCACGCCAGGCAGGAACACAAGCAGGCGGTGCTGGATCTTCAGTCCCAGTACGCCGCCGAGACCCCCAAAACGGCCCCCAAGACCAGCATCCGCGAGATCTGCGAGGGACGGCTTGATCTGGAGAACATCCTCACCATGGATGACTTCTTGGGGACCCAGGAGGCGCAGGAGCTGCGCGACCTCGAGTCCCAGGAGGTGGAGGAGCTCACGAAGAGGAAGGACGAAGTGGCGCAGCAAATCCAGAAGGGGGTGGCCGACTACTTCAAGGCCTCCCTCGACAAAGTCAAGGCTGCCCAGGCGGCCCAAAAAGAGCAACTCCAACGGCTCGAAGGCAAGAAGAGGAAGATTGGAGGAGGAGACCCTGTGCCAGGCACCGCAGCGGTCGGCAACGATGGTGCTGGCTCTGCTCCAGCGGCCTCTGCTGCAGCTGCTGCCGCGCCCGCTGCCGCCGAGGGAACCAAGCATGCGGCTGAAGGTGCGCCCACATTCGAAGAGCGTCTGGCGGCTGCGATCCAGGAGCGCGAGCCGAATAATATTTAGCAGCGATTCGTCGCGAGGCGCCCCAGGACCTCCACGATGCGATCCTGCCCACCTCGAAGCTTCGCGCTCGGGGCGGGAGGTGGAGCATCGTGTGGAGGGGGGAGCGGGTACTGGTTCCTCGAATGCCTCAGGACCTCTGCGTTACGATCCTGCCCAGCCTGAAGCTTCGCGCTCAGGTAGGGAGGTGGAGCAATGCATGGAGGGGGGGACGCCGTCTGGGGCATCATGCCCTTTGCGGCGGGCTGCCCTGGAGCCAATCCAGGGAACGACTACTTCGAAGATTGCAACGATTTCGAGTGCGACGTCGAAGTTTTGGGCCCATAATATAATGGACCTTGATTGGCCTGATGCGGGTTTCCCAGTCCCCGCGATCAGGACGCAGCCCACCGTCTCCCTGATAGGGACTTTGGAGCCTGCCGTGCCTCTGCAACAAGTTTCTGCAGTCTTGGAGAGCATTGACCTCACAAGTGATGAAGTTTTGGTGCATGAACGAGTTGTTGACTTGACCGCTGACGAAAGCAGTCCAGAGACGACCACTCTGCAACAGGATGAAAGCAGCCCAGAGAAGACCACTCTGCAAACTGAGGGTGTATGCATCGACCTCGCTTCTGAATGTAAAGTTTTGCTTCCGACAGTGGCGGTAACTGCTGCAGTCTCCGATGGAGCAAGTAGTGTGGACCAACCCTTAATTCCTCTAGCGAGTCAGATTGAGATGCCGTATACCCTCAAACTGCACTCTCAGATCACGGCCCCAACTAGGACCGTGCACGCGCGAGGCGAAGCCACTTGGAAGCTTGCGACGGTCAATCTTACATCGGCCCAAGCGGAGGGACAGAAAATCTCAGCAGTTGGAGCGATGCTCGCACGGCTGGGATTTGACGGTATGGCCATCCAGGAGCATAAACTTCTCAAGCAAAAGACTGGAGATGTCATTGCCAGGTTAAAACACGAAGGATGGCACGCAGCACTCACCTCCGCGAAAGAAGGCAAGACGATCCATGCTGCGTCCGCAGGGGTTGGTGTCGCCATGACGGCTGACATAGCCATGGCAGCACCGCCCTCATTGGGACGATGGTTTCAGTACCCGCAGTCGGAGAGGTTCCATGCTCAGCTCTGCGAAGGAATGGTACCAGGAGGCTTCTTTTTCATCTCCTGCTACTTTTACTCAGGTACTGGTGTCGAGTTGTACAACAAACACCTCCTCAGAGACGTCTTGGGATGGATCAAGGCCGTGGGGCGACCGTTCATCCTAGGGGCCGATTGGAACATGACGCCTCAGGAGCTCGTAGACCTTGGGGAGCTCAGGACTTTCCCTGCAACTATTGTGGCGCCGAATGTCTGGACATGTAGTGCAGGAAAAGGGAGGACCATCGACTATTTCCTCGTCTCTGATACTTTGCGCGGCATGGTCAAGTCAGTCTACAGGATTGAGGGCCTGCCTATTGCTATGCATTGGGGTGTGGGGATCACTTTAAAGAAAGGAGCAGGATCCATCTTGATACAACAAATGTGCCTACCTAAGCCACTGCCGACGGAGCTCCCGATGGGAGCTCCGCGGCCGCCACCTGACTATACGGAAGTTGTAAAAGAAACCGAGCTTGTTCGCGATCAGGAAGACCTGACTTGGGCCTACGCCTTATGGGCCATGCAGGCCGAAAAAGAGCTCCTTGACCGGTATCAGCTTCCTCCTGATCAGGTTAGGCCGTATCAAGGGCGTGGAGATCTTGATAAACCAAAGTTAAAGTTGGTGGCAGCAATCCGCAGTACCTCTAAGGCAGTGGCTGAAGGCAGTCAACTATCACGCTGGTGGCGCAAGGCGGGCAACGCGTGCATTGACCTAGCCAATGCAATCGGAAAACTGGAAAGGGGTGGTATAGCACATGGGTGGTATGGGACCGATTTTTGAAAGCATGTTTGCATTTTTTTGATGCGACATTGTTACCACGTCACTTGAGCAGCCTGCGAATGTAAAGGAAGAGGATAAAGAGAATGAGGAGGAGGAGGAGAGGAGCAAGGAGGAAGAGAGGAAGAAAGAGAAAAGAGACGAGGAGGAGGAGGAGGAGGAGGGAAGAGCGAAGAGGAGGAGAAAGAGGAGGGGGAGAAGGAGAGTCTC